CTCACACACACACACACACACACATCTCTCTCTCTCTCTCTCTCTCTCTCTCTCTCTCTCTCTCTCTCTCTCTCTCACACACACACACCGAATTGATACGCACCCACGTCTGCGCTGTTGCCTCCTCGTCCGCCCAGTGCGAGTTCCACCATCGCCGCAAGGTCTCGATCTTCGACGGGGGAGAAGTAGCCGCCGGGTCCGGAGTGGAAGCGCTCGGCGGCTGCCCCAGGGAAATGATAGTCACCGGCATGGTTGTTGCTGCGCTACTCCCTCCTTTCCGCTCCCTCGCTCTCTCTCTCCCCTTCTCTGCTCTTTCTCTCCCCTTCTCTGCTCTCTCTCCCCCCCCCTTCTCTGCTCTCTCTCTCCCTTTCCTGCTCTATCCCCCCCCTCTTTGCCACAGGCGCGCCAAGCACAACTTGCCAAGAAGCAACGACCTCTAGCTAGTGCTCTGGGCTAAGATTGATTGACTACTCAATTGCTTGATTGGCTGATTGCCACGTGGCATGGTCCAGCACAAAAAAGGCAGCAATCTGCGCACAAGAGAGCTGCGACGGATGAGGATGAGGAGGCAAGAGGAAGGAAGGAAGAGGGGTAAACGGGAGGTAACGATCAATCACCGACCCTATTCCTCAATTCCACGCCATATATCTCAGCCATCGAACACGCGCAACAATCTCTTTTCCCTTCCTCCCACTCCCACCCTCTCCCCCCCGCCCCCCTGTTTGCTCCGCCGATCATCCCCCTAAGGGTCTCGCCACGCGCGGCACGAAACGAGAAACATAATGAATGCATCTTTCCGCAGGAACTGGAAAGATTAGACCGTTCGCTATGAATAGTACGCAATGCATCTTTCCACCTTTTCTGGGAAGATGCGCCCGGTCTTTTCGTTTCGGGTGCCTTGTGGCGGGGTGCTAAGGTCGGTCGCCCGGCCGCCGACCTGCTGTTCTCTGGAAATGCCAAACCAGGGAAAAAATATCCACCACGTGCCTGAAAAATCCCAATGGGCCTCGCCCACCCCTCACCACACCCACAAAAGACAAAACTTATGAAATCGCTCACCAAAAATATTCGGGCCCGAATGCATCTTCCCATGATCTATCGGAAGATTCGTGCTCGATTTGCACATTCGGGGCCTCGCTCACCAAAAATATGGCGGTGTACCTTTTCTTTTTTTTTTTTCTTTTTTTTTT